GCCATGAATTGGCGGAAGGCGATATATTGCAGATGGAAAGTGATGTTGAAGATGATGGGAGCGCTGATGAGTTTCCCTATGTCTTTGACAAAAATATGGTCCTAATCATCTCTACATTATCAACATTTTGATCTGGCGAATGGGGATATGTACCGGATTTTGGGTGGGCTTGATGTTTAGGGTTCAGTCAGGTTTATCCACCTAATCAAACTTTGCCACCTCTCTATGTCACCAGCTAGGCACTAGCTAAAGCAACCTATGATACAAGTTTCTTTCTTGTACTGTGTTTATATGGAGGACAATGAGGGAAGAGAATGAAGGTTTCTCCTCATAACTTGAGCTAATTTTATGTGCAAGATCGTAAGCATTTGCAATAACTTTAACTTTCTTTTTTTACTATTTGCATATAATTGAATAAGACTGAGGGAAAGAGCTTGGGGTTTTGAATGGTGGATCTGGACAATTCACTAGAGGTAATAATTGTTAGGCCAAAATTAATCCTAGCTAGGTTATTATATCATGTACATTATGATTATTGATTTGAAAATTTATATAGTTTTTTTGGCAATGATAGACATGCACATGTCGCCATCTACAAATAGTCACGCACACAACCAATTTTTTAATTAATTAGTTGTTTTTTAATTACTAACAAAGGAAAATCAATGACTAGATTGGATAAAATGTAGTAAAACAAAATATTCAAGATTAGATTGAGTGTATAGATAAAGGAACTGGGGACCAATAATTGAAATAGATTTGGGTCATTTGCTTGATGACGTATAGGTGGTTACATGACAAAATTCACGAAAAATGCATTTGATAAGGCATGTATCTTGTGGCCATGCATAGCTTTCCACATCAAAAATCAGTTGCCAGACCTGCATGCTGTTATTGCCTTTCATGTAATATGATTTTGTGGATACTTGTAGTAGAAGAAACCACAACAACAGTTACAAGAAACTGCCTCTTATGCAATACGTCAAAATTGATATGCATATTCACGTGAATCAATTAATAAAAATTTAAAATATGTACATTCGAGTATTTAATTTATTAGTTAGTGTATGATTTCATATTTAAAATTAAGGTTCAAATTTCCTTTTTTTCAAATCCAAAATAAATTTAAAATAGGTAAATGATTATCGAAACATGTTTTTTCTCAAAGCATTTTAATTACAGTAATAAATATATATTTGAAGAGAATATTAATTATTAATGGATAATTTTTTAGTTATCCAATGTCTGGTTCACACATGAGGTATTTAATTTAATTCCCATATCTTTTATTCTTTTTAAATTCCCTTATCCTTGTTAGTACATGGAAGTTGGAGGGAAAACGGAAATGTATTTAATTTGCTTCCTTGGAAAAAAATGAGTATAATACAGTATGAAAAGTGAAGATAAATGTGTTGGTAAGTATGTATTATGTATAAATTTGCCCTATTTAAACCACGCCACCAATCCAATGGCACACAACCTACAAACTCTCAAGTTCCATTCCTCCCTTCCCTGTATATTTGTTCCACCTCGTTGTCGTTTTTATAGTTTTGTTACAAGGAACAAACTGGAAACCACTTGTATCATATCACTGGCGTTAGTGCTTTGTTGACAACACAGTCTCCGTACGAAAGTTTCCAGGTCCTGTGCAATGAAGGGGAATCGTCCCTTCAACAGCTTTCTCCTGTTAGTCCTGACGGTGATGATGATCTTCCACCGTGAAATTTGCCATTCTCGGCTTGACCTTGGCGGTACTACACTTTCCTTCGTTCAAACAAGAGGAACCAACTTTGTCATGAACGGAAAGCCGTTTTACCTGAATGGCTTCAATGCTTATTGGATGATGATGTTTGCATCTGACCCTTCTACAAGGATCAAGGTCACAGACACATTTCGAGAAGCCTCAAAGTATGGCATGAATGTGGCAAGAATTTGGGCTTTCCACGATGGTGATTACAAGCCCCTTCAGAAGTCTCCTGGTTCTTACAATGAGGACGTGTTCAAGGTAACAACAGATAATCATCTTTTTCTTCTTGGTAACGGCTTCGTTTCCTTGTTTCCAATGCAATGAGGGATTTGTGGAAATTACAAGAAAAGTGGTCGTATTCAGTTGAGATTGACTAATTTAATGGGGACATAGATTGTTATTGTTATGGATGTTATGGTTAAATTATATTTCAGGGACTGGACTTTGTTGTAGCTGAAGCTAAGAAGTATGGGATTCACTTGATTCTGAGTTTGGTGAATAACTTCAAAGATTTCGGTGGAAAAGATAAATACGTTCAATGGGCAAAGCAACGAGGTCAGAGCCTGAGCAGTGAAGATGATTTTTATACAAACTCTCTCGTCAAACAATACTACAAGAATCATGTTAAGGTACGTTGGTGTACAGCTTTGATTTCCTGGAACTTGTGTTAAATTCTTGAACCCCATTTTCTCCCCTTACATAAATGCTTGCAACTAATTGCCGTATTACCTTGGGCTTTGGGGTCTGGTCGTCAAATCATTACTGTAACCGGGGGGTTTCATAAAAACTTTTCCAGTTTTGCAAGGATGGTATGAACCTGACGTATGAACCTAACGAAAGGAACGCCAGGTCCCCGGCCTGGTTGGGTCCACTCTATGATCGCTGGCTTCATCCACCTAAATTTAAAGATGGGATGACTTCATAGTCTGATCTTTAGATTCTGTTAGAAGAAACTGCAAAAATTATATATATTGGTCATGTTTTTAATTAGTCCTAAAAAAAAAAAAGACAGATATCAAAATCATATAGACATAAATTAATTACTTTTTGACATGCTTGGTTTGTCGCATCCTAGGAATACAGATGCCATGGCTAAATCTCAACCCCTTTTTTTTTATTGGTAGTAACATCACTTTTGGACACTGTGTTAATCATTTTCCTTTTCGGGTGAGGAGGACTGGAGGAGATCTTTGTTGTCTTTTAAGTAATGGACTTATGGCAGAATAACGATGGTTGCAGGCAGTGCTCACGAGACTCAACACGATTACCGGGGTGGCATATAAAGACGATCCTACAATTTTTGCTTGGGAACTCATGAATGAACCCCGTTGCCCTAGTGACCCTTCTGGAGCTAACCTTCAGGTTTCTCTCGCTGTATCCCTCTCTCCATTTGTGGTTGATTTTAAGCTAATTTTGCCTGTTAAAGTCTTGTCTTGTCCTATGACACTTAAAAGCGACCCTTGCGAACACCGTACAAAATATGGTTTCAGGCTTTCTCATTATCATGTGAATGCTAGAAAGTGGAAATTATAAAGACTAATGTGAATAAGACAGTAATCAAAACAAATGACCTCAGTTCAGAGTAACTGAGCTTTCATATCATGGATAAAAAAGAATTCAACCCATCGCAGCTAAAGAAAAATCCATTTCGCATTGGGGGATAAACAGATAGATTGATTTGATCAATTGTCACGCATAGAAAGTGACTAGATGATATATATGAACATAACAAGAACAAATTTGGTTTGTTTTTGCAATTGATAAATGATAAGAAACTGATTAACTAGTTTGGCTAAGTCCGTAACACACACGCATGTAACTCCACATGGAATCATATGAACGACAAGCTTTCAAGGAGCAATGGAGAATCAGAATCCTATATTGATGATGATGGTGACCGCCAATTTTGCTCCTTTTGTTCTTTCTGCTTGTTTGTGTGTTTGTTTGGAATTCTGTAAAGCTGTTGAAGTTTCCTCTAATAGCTTGTGGTTTGATGTTTTCTTCAACCCACTTTACCGAATTTTATAAGCTAGCTATAGATCTCACCAACTTCTCAATCATGTTGTCAGAATTTTGAGCCGTACTATTAGACGAATTTGCAGCTAACTGTATGTACTGGTATTTGCTTAGTAATTCTAATTCCCATTTTGAAGCTGAACTTGTCAGCGCATAATCGAACTGGTATGCTTATAGAACCAGGACTAATCCAATTGTTTCTTTTTAACAGAACTGGTTAAAAGAAATGGCTGCACATGTCAAGGGCATTGATAATCATCATCTACTGGAAATAGGTCTTGAAGGATTTTATGGCGAATCGATGCCAGAGAAGAAACAATACAATCCAAATAGCTCTCCTATTGGGACTGATTTCATTTCTAATAATCAGATCCCCAACGTCGACTTTGCTAGTATTCATCTGTACCCTGAACAATGGTAATATCTTTAGTGCTATTTCACTGATTGGGTATCCTCTGCTCTGCACCGAAAGGAAGTGGGGTATTGATTTTTCTTTTCATGAATCCAATCGCAGGTTACCATCAACAAATTCAAGCGAAGAGGCCCAGCTTGCTTTTGTAGACAAATGGATCCAGGCCCATATCCTGGACTGTAATTCACTACTGAGAAAACCACTTCTGATAGGAGAGTTCGGCAAGTCTTTCAAGTTGCCTGGATACAGCTTGGAAAAGAGAAACTACTATTTCCAAAAGATTTATGATGCTATCTACAACAGTGCTAGAAGTGGTGGGTCATGTGCTGGTGGGCTCTTTTGGCAACTCTTAAGCCTTGGAATGGATAACATGGGAGATGGCTATCAAGTTGTTTTGGAACAGAGCCCTTCAACTGCTCATGTCATTGCACAGCAGTCTCAGAAGCTATCATCTCTCACTTGAAGATGACAGAGGGATGCCTTAGGTATTAATGTACAACAGGCGGAATCGTGAGATGAGTTTAGTTGAACAAATGTCCAATAAACTACATTTTAGACATGATTTAGTACCACTAGGTTCTGCTAACAACATGGGATTTACAAACAAGTTGAGTAATAATTTTTACCCAGAAAAGCAGACTGAATGACTAAAATAAAATAACAAATATGATTTTGGTGCCCTAAACTCACGGAAGTTCTAACAAATATTTTTCAACTAGCGTCTTGAACAAGCTACAAAAAAACATGAATACTTCATAGTTTTCTCTTTGTAAATCAAATTCACCACTTTATTGAAATTTTCTAGTAAATAAAAATGTCAAAACAAATTTTGGTGAATCAAAATGGATGTAATTGATCAATGTACTAAACAATAGTTCCATCCTTAATTACAGAATTCTTTAACACTACAGTAATTCCAGATCGAATGTAAAATCCTTCAGATGGTCTATCTGCCTCTTTCACATTCTGCAATTTAACCAAAAAAGAGTGAAAAAATAAAAGAAAATTCTTGGTTATTATCTTTGTCCAAAATTTTTTGCAAAAAATAATATTGCCACAGGACTCTGAGTCGTAACTTACATCCTTGTTTGTGATGACAACATTTTTTCCAATTCTTGCATTCTTGTCTATTATACAATTCCTGCAAGAAAGATTTAGTAATAATCACTTAATTAAGCTTCAAAATTTATAACAACTCTGTGATGCCATTCCATCAAAAACTATGATGCTTTAAGAGAATAATAATGGCTTAATCAGTACATGGTTAAATTGAAACTGGGATGCACATCACTACCATTTACATCATTCTTATATATCTCTCATAGTAGTCTACTGCGAAGAAACTGTCAAAGCAAACTTACATAATTTTGGTATCTTTTCCAACGCCTAGTGGAACCTTGCTCTCTGCTAAACAGGATGCTATCTCTTCCTCGGTTTGGTAATTGTCAGCACCCATCATCAATGTATCCTGTAGAATCAGTGAAAATTATACTTTTCAAATAGTTAAAGATTTGCTGCCCGCTCCTATTGGCTCCATCAAGGTTACTCAACGTTAGAGATCTAAATTGGTAAGAAGATCACAACGATGCAGTAATGTAGAGGCTGACATTTTGACATGTGGATGTAAAGGGATGAAAAGGGCTATTATAATTCAGTGGAATAGACAGCGTACGAGCTAGATGGCATTTTTCCAGGACGATCTTAAAGAGTGCTGAGTTCAAAATAGCTGTATCTGCTCAAAGTTTATAACAAGCTTTCTTCCATCATATTTAACTATTAGATAGTATTCCTTCCAATGCATATATAAGTATCACAAAGCCTTATCAGGGTATACATAGCCCAATTGTCTTGCAGAATGGTGATGCTACTTATTTACTTTATTTTCATACTTGGACCATAAAGAAGACTTAGCTAGTTTGTTAAACCAGAAGAGCATGAAACAAAATTAAAGGAAGCTTATGAAAAATATATAAATAAAGGAAAAATCACCTTTAGCTCCACCCCGTAATCCAATCTTGAACGAAGTCCCACAATGGAATGTTCGATACTGCATTCTTTCAACAAGCAACCATGTGAAATTATAGAGTCCACGACCTACAATAAGCAAGGGTAACCACATGATCTCTATATGCATCAGCTTAGCCATGCCATTTAATCACATATCAACAAGTTCAAAATAAATTATTACCCGGCACTGCTCTATTTTTGTTGGTGGTAGAAACCGAGGAGAAGTGACGATTGGCTTTAGGGGGTCATAGAAGTGAAACTTGGGAGGCTTTAAACAGAGAGATAACAGTGTTAAACAGTTTTTTTTTTTGAATGGCAACAGTGTTAACAGTTGGATAAAGAAAGACAGCAGGAATAATTTAAAAGAGGACTACCTGATCTGTAAGGGCCAAATTTGCATCAAAAAAGGATTTTATAGTTCCGATATCTTCCCAGTAGCCATCAAATAAGTATGCCTGCCATGTACAGATAACTGCAACTTAGAGGCTCTGCTACAAACTATCGAACATGGCAACTCTCAAGTAATAGTGGTTCCTGATTATCTTTTGAGGGTCTACCTTAACATTGTAATCTTTCATAGCCAGTGGAATGATTTCAGATCCAAAATCATTGGCTGCTGGATAATGCCACCTAAAGAAGCAAAAACAATAGAGAAACAGAAACATCATCTTTTGCTGCTGTACACCTTAAGAATTGCCAACATACACACTGAAATGGTCCAGCTTTGAGTCCAAATTGGCAACTACAATTCTAAAATAAATTGATGCAGTAGTGATGAGAGAAAAAGCATATCTTTTCTAGTTGAAGCAAACCAGAACATTAATGCAGTTTATGGAAGATCCTTTGCATCTCGAGCTTCATTACCTGAGTAGTTTCAGTAGAACTTGTGTCTTGAATAAATATATGCCCATTGATGCAATGTATGGTGATATCCTTGCATCTTGAGCTGTTAATCCCAGAACAGTTGTATCGACTTGCTGTCAAGATAAGAAATTTCAATCAGCTAACTGCTAGTTTTAGTTTAAAACAAACTTTACATCAGAGGAACAAATGACAAGTACCTACCATTGATCTCAGACTTTCACCTTTAGGTTTCTCAAGAAACTGTCTGATCTGTCCATTTTCATCAATCTTTAGAAGTCCAAAATCTGAGGCACGACTGCAGGATAAGAAGATAATTTCTTTAACCGGGGAAAAAGAAGAAAAGTGAAAGAAATAGTCAACCAATTTTTGTTAATACGAGTCATTTTACAGGTGACAATTCAGTCCTACATAAGGCAAGAAAGCAAATTTAACCAAAACCCAGGCAAATTTTGGTTCAAAATATTCACCTTTCATCCACAGGGAGACAAGAAACAGATATATCAGCACCAGAATCAATGTGCTTCTGCAATAGAGATAGGTGTTTAATAAAGCCTGCAAATATAATGTATAAATGACAACAGAGGAAGGTAAAATAATCAAGGGAGAAGCTGTGGTAAACCTGCAAGAATTCCATGTAATCCATTCTATATAGATGATCACCAGATAATATCAGAATGTTCTCGATATTTCTATGTTTAGCGTCCTACACAAGTTACCACAAAATGTCACCCTATTTGAGAATACAAGAATTCATTTCTATTCTGAATTCAACAACACAGACCAATTATGAAGGGAGAAAATCTGAAAACAGAATAAGGACAGACAAGTTTCTCATACCTCAAACAACCCGCTGAATTGTCTTACAGCATCTGCTGTACCCTGAAACCACTTCTTTCCAGATTCACCAGATGTTTGTGTAGCTGCTAGCACCTATGGCAAGGCAAGGAGCAGGATTGAAGCATATGTAGCAGAGACATGTTAAAAGAGAACATGTTATGTTTAATCACTTTAACAAACATGCTAAAGCTCCTTTTTGTACAATCTTTTGTAAAATCTTCCTCACTAACCATCAGCAACAAAGCACTACAGCAGTTTGGAGCGTTGGTAGTTCAAAAATGTAAATCTTGGATCTTCAGAATTTCCACATACCTCAACAAACCCATCACCGAAGTTCACACCATTGCCCAAATTATATGTCCGAGAAATGTGGCGGTTGAGAGATTGAGAATTGAACTGGGTGAGGATGTAAATCTTGTTAATTCCACTGTTGATGCAGTTACTCATGGGAACATCAATCAGTCTATAGCATCCTCCTATTGGTACCTAACAAACCATGTACAGTATCAAACAAAGCAAATCTTAGAGATATTTACATCAATTTAATCATAAATTTAAGATGCCATCTAATATTTCAAATTAGCTTACAGCTGGCTTGGCCCTTCTTCGAGTAAGGGGAAAGAGCCGAGTTCCTGCTCCACCACCTAATATGATAGAGGTAACAGTCTTGGGGTCTGCCTCCTGTTTTGGTAAAATATTTGCCCGGAAAGCCTGCATTGCAAGTCCAGGGTTGGAAAAGAAACAGAACTCAGTAATCGGTCAATTCGAAGTGCTAGAAAATTGATCAAGAAACAAAACTGAAAATTGAAAAATGTACAATTCTACATAATACAAACACAGAACAAAGTTACCATGAAATCTTTGGCAACATCAGCAAGAACAGCTGAGGTGGAAAATCTTTTGGTTGCAGCACATGTCCTCCTAGGAATGTTGTTTTGTCCCATCCGAATACCAGATATCGCACTGTTGGATTGCCCAACTCCCACAGCATTTCCAAAGAATGAAGATGACAGAAGTCTGTCCCGGTGGGATGGTGGCAACGTTGATGATGGAACACAGCAAGAACTGAACATTTTTCTTCCTTTGGCAATGTGCTAATCTGAAACTTTTACTATTAAAGATTTAGCTTCTTCAAGGAAAGAATATAGAGCCCAAGAACAAGCCTCTTTTGTTACAGTTCTTGAATCCTCCCTCTTGATTTCTCCTGTTAATTGCTTTTCTCTGCTCTCTGGATGATAGATAGTATTGCTCACCTAAATTTCAATGCCAATGTTTATTGAGATTCGAAATTTCTAGTTCCATAATTATATAAAATATTTTGTTAGAGTTATTATACTACTCTATCACCCAATTAGAATACAATCCACAATTTAAATTTCTCTGTAATATTTATAATTATATATTACAAGAGTGTTTTTTCTTTTTTATAGACTATAGCCGACCTCATAATATATCATCCACTCAATCATAAAATATAAAACCGAAAGCTTTAAAAAAGGAAGAATAGCTCGCACAAACTTACTAAATTGAAGAATAATTCAATTATAAAAAATGGAAAATTTCATATTATGGTATATTACGAAATGTAAACACGTGAACGTGATGAAATAAAATTAAAACATCCTTTAATAAAGGAAGGAAAAGATTCTAAGCACGAGCCAGATTAATGCATTCTTTACAGGGTGAATATTAGAGAGAAAGAATGATGTACGAAATAAAATTGCCTCAAGATGGAGCAAGGAATGGCTCCAAGAACAAGACCAACACCCAACATCACCGACTTTATACCTATAAAATCTCTTTCCAATGAAAACCCAGTTAAGTTATCGAGATTCTCAAGCAGCACAAAGAATAAAAGTCGACCATTAAACAAGTAAAAGCCTTCATGATGCATTTAAGACCGTACGCTGTTTCCCTCTTTTTGGGGTTTCCTTCTTGCATGTGCATGCATTAATATGGTATTATGGAAACCCTATCTTTTTTTTCTTGTTTTCTTCTTCTTGCGTCAAAAGAAAGGAAAACCCAGAGAAAACCGAGAAATTAAAAGGAAGAATCAGAATAACAATGTCCGGTGAGACGGATATACACTGACCAAGCACCAAAATGGGAGGCAAAAGCTGGCAAAGTTTTGTTTTCCCTGTCAAAGACTCCTCCACGGACCTTTAGAATCATGATACAGCTTTTTGTTGTTTCTGATTTTACTCATTGGAAAAAGTTCGAAAACAGAGTCAGGTCTCAGGTTTCACAGACAGGGAGTGAAAAATACTGGGGGTGCGGGTCTCACTCTCACACTGAAACTTTCTTTCTCTCTCCCTGCAACTGCAACTGCAACGGTCAAAATATCCCTTCATCTTTCATCAACCATCAGTGAGTCTGTTGCGGTTGGCTAACGGCCCAGGATTACCGATCTCTTGATTTCTTTGTCAACTTATTAAAGTAAAGATATTCTATTCTATTGTTTGCACGTATTTTCAGATTTAAGACCGCCTTTGATCATCTGACGAGATATTGAATTTCTCTCAAAGCAATGGGAAGATTCAGATGGCAGCGCTAAGTTAACGTCAAAATATATAGCTTTTTCTAGACAGTATCAGATGTCCATGAATTCCCCTTTTTAAGACCTTTCCTTTCTTTCTTTTATTTTTTTTCTAGTTGGTCCAAAGAAAGAAAAGCTTGCAGATCTTAAGACTTCTTTTTGTCTTCTTCAAAGATTAATAAGACAGATAGAAAGAGAAACAAAACTCTTGGCAGTCGACCAAATATATGGAGTAATTTGCTATTTGAGTATCAACATGTTCTACTTGTACAATTGCCATTCTGAAAGATAAAATTTTTTGAAGAGGAAAAAAGAAAAAAAGAATATATCTCTACTCCATGATTCTCAGCAAACTTGGACACTCAACCCTACTCTTTTATGGGGTTTCGACTTCGGATCCTATGAATTTTCTAACCTGCTCAGCCTCCCTTAAACGAAAAACAGTAGACACCATAGGCCAATTGATCAGGTTTCTCATCACCAAATCACTGACTCTCTTGATATAAAGCGACCAATCACACACCGGTGGGAGTGGGAAAACTGGACGGGAACTATGAAGGGAGAAACTACAATAGGCATTGTCAACTGTACATACATCGCAACCTGTACAATATGCCGAATTATTTATCTATTCTAAGATTACTACAGAGATGTCCAAGTTCAGGCCTTGCATCCATCCAAGAAGTGAATTTTGTCTCAATTGGAGATGTGCAGTATAGGTAAGACCGGAATGTGATGAGGAAGAAGTAACGCCTGCAAATAAACAAATACAAGTTTATGGATTATGAAAACAAAACACTTGGTGGTGCATCTTAGCGGCAACATCTTTCCTCAAAAATAAGCAAACCTAACCTCAATCTAGCGTACTAGAATTTTCAAACCATAAAAGAATGATAAAGGAGCAGCTCTTGGCACCATCAAGTTCCATTAGCAATAACTAACTAAATAGGACCATGGCCTTGGAATTGAGCCCATCAATCGAAAGGAAAAGACTATCGAGCAAGCTATTTGGTGAAGGTGGTAAAATCCAACAACTCACCTTAAAGCCTTTATGCCCATATCCATAAGGTATGCCCGATGTTCATCATCATCATCTGTGACCTTCTCGAGTTCCTTATTGAAATGAAGGACATCATCCCGTAAATGCCCTGCACCAGCACACCTTCACAAAAATGGAAGAAACTCAGCATCATCAAAGGGTAAAAAAAGGCCAGTAACTGACTGGTTAAATGACTTGGGGAAGAAAAAACCAACTGCCCAAAAATATGAAACAAAATAACAGCCATGAAATAAGAAATTAAACAAGCAGTGGGAGGGCATGTTCAACTGAGTCCAAAAAAAGAAGAAATTGCTGATATCAGCAGAACAATTCATCATTTTTACCTTTGTGGACCATTGAATGACTAATCTGAATATACATATTGCTAAAATTGTAAAACAGTGAGAAGAAAAACTCCCTTCCAATTTTTTTACAAGAAATTTAAATAATGGGAAAGGAGACAGACCTTTCAATAATGATATCAACATCTGCTTTGCTTTTGGGACCATGCATGAGAACTCTTGTAAGACTTAGTATGTCACGATAATCACCCATCCTCAGTGCTTCTTCATCAGAAGTTCGGGATGGCAAGTTTTCTTCAAGTGTAGAATGCAGATGTGCATCAGCCAATGATTGTGTAACACTAGATGTCCCAAACTTCACCTCTGCATCAAGTCTGCTACAGATGATTGCCATTGCATATGCAACTCCTCCAAATCCAGTATGTGATACATAAAGGTAAAACCGTGAGGAGCTGTACAAGACATAATTGCAGCTTCAAAAACAATATTTGATAGAAAGGAATCACTTTAAAGCATATTCACAATTGCAGTTCCATTTTTCTTTGGTCAAAAAAGAAATTGTCTTTACCTCAAAGCCTGTTAACCAATTACAAAAGAAAATGCTTTTTCAAATTATTGGCATCATAATAACAAAAATGTCCTGATGTAAATAAATCTAGTCTTTGAAAAAACAAAAGATCTTTAAAGATATTATTGGCCTTTTTAAAACTGATATGGTGAAGGCATTCTAGTTGGCAGTAGCAATTTCTTAACAGAATGATGCAGTTCATCTTTTATTTTCCTTCCCCCTTTTGAAAGAATATTCTATCTTTCAGGCTGTAACATATTGACAATTTCCAGATTGTGTTGCAAAATTTCCCAAAATGATTATAAACCTAGCCACGGTATATATCACTCTTCTAACAAGCAGGTAATACATAATGTCCCAAGTTAAAATGTTAGCTGGTAAATAATCCCTGCCTAGACACCCTGGTGCATGCATGCATGTATATATGCAGGTAGAACCAGACACAACAAAAATTTCTAGGTGTCACTTCAAAAGAATGATCAATGAAGCACTAGCTAGATATACTGATACTCACTCATCTTGACAGTTCTGGATTTCATCCACATCAGAAGCTAAAGCTTCCCTCTCTCTAGTTAATGGTATCCTCCTATAAGCTATATTATACCCCTCATTCTTTAGAGCTGCATACACTTCAGCAGGTGTCTTCACGTCATCAGCAAAGATGTTTTCCCAGTATCCTACAACACTGGACTGATTTGATAATGGGCTATATTCTTCACGATGTAAAAGCATTCGACCTCCAGACTGTCTAACCTCAGATAATATATCTTCCTTTAGCCGTGCCTCCATGTGTTCCACCTGCATTATGGTCACAATGCAAGAAGTAAGTAATTGGCACTTAATAACTAACCCATAAACAATAAACCACATTCATGCTGAAATACCACTGGGCCAGTAATTCCGACATGCTTTAGGGTATCAACAGGCTTATTTAACTCCCTCAGTACAAATGGCGTGCCATTGATGTACACAACTGCCTCTTCTCTCAGATCAGTCACCACCACTTTCTGACCAGCAAATCCTTCTGCCTTGGACTTGTTGGCACCTAGATATGCTAGCATCTCCTTAGCACCACTAATTGTCGGAGTTGCCATGCTATAAACAGGGTATTCATCCACCTAGAACAAACAGGTGTCAAAGGCATATAAGGATTCTGCCAATGTTTAATCATTTATATGGTTTGTTTTTTATAAAATTAAGAACAAGAATATGCATGCTTCTAGTGCGAGTGTGACCTAGAAATTTGAAATGGGGTAAGAGGAACGGAACCATAATAACATGTTGCCGTGAATGCAAACCTAAATAGACAGAAGTCAATCTAATACAAGCAAGTCTGAAAGATAAAAAAGGAAAGACATATTTCCATGTACCACTGAGAAGAAGAAAAACTCTTGACACAATTTGATGAACCACATTGAGTAAGATGTTATATCTCATATACCAGTAACTTTTAAATGGACTCTTGAAAAGGAGAATAGACATGATTTACCGCAATGACGCAGGTACATTTAACAGAAAATGCCTATCTTACGGACAACATTTATTACAAAATATAACTTGTAAAACATCAGGAGAATGCCAAATATATCAACACTATAATGACCTTAATGGTTAGATGGCCTTAGGGCATAACAATCTCAAGAAAGTCGTCATTCTTTTGAACAAACCTTGAAAACATGTGGTGCACCATGAATTTGGATGTTGCTGGAAGTCCTTTGACCTGGAAAGAAGTACATCTTAAGTATAGAGCCATTCCCTAAAACAGAACCATTACGTGCCTTCACAATGGCCTCCATTACAGCATCTCCATGTTGGGATTCATGTGGTGCTCTCAATTCCTCCTGCATTCAAGAAGCAAAATTAGTTGCACAAGCATAATCAAAACAAAAGATAAAAATGTCAAACTATGACAAACTTAGAACGTTGTGTTCATTAAACCCTTGACTTGATTCTAGACAGAGAAAAATATTTACAGGGACAGTGAAAAATCGCCCAGGCCTTAATCTTATACTCCATTTCATTGCTTGGACCTCCGGTCTCTGATGCAACCAGTTCTTAAATGTCATCATGCATTCTCCTTGTCCACAAAACCCATCAAATGCTTCACTTCCAAGATATGCAGCAAAAGCAATTAAACGGAAATACCGTTCCAAGTACTCAGCACCACGGTTCAGTGCCACTCTCCTCACCCTTGGCTCAACATGCTGTTGGTTGAATACCTTCCTGTACTGCAGAACTGCTTGTCGTATGTTCTGTAGTGCTGAACATCTATCAATGATTGCATCTAAGGCCTCACGGCACTCCACTCCATTATCAAATAATCTTGTTATCTTCCACAAAAGTAAGATATCATCAATGCCAAATGCACGGCCTTGCTCATTTTCTGTTTTTACTTTAACAGGACTAGAGGTCAATCTAGTGACACTGCTTCCACTTTCTTCACCACTTGAGGAGCTTCCATCTGCCTGTTCACGGCTCATGTCATCAAGCAGGGCTTTAATTGGTCTCCCATAATCAATACAAAGCTTCACAAGGCAAGCTATTACAGTACCAGTTGTTGTCCTCCCTCTTCCCATCTATGAAAAGAAAGGGAACAATGACATTTAGGTGAGAGTGAGAAAAGAAGCGGACACAAAAAGGTAATAAGCATCTGCAAATCCACATAGTCATCAAAATAATTTGCAAAATAAATACCTGGCAATTGAATACAAAAGCAGTATCCTTTGAAGCAGAAGCGATGTTTGCAGCCAGTGTATCAAAGTCAGAACTTTTGGGAGCTTTGCCATCAGTAATGGGCACACGTGCATACTTAATGGGAAAACCATCATCCTCTAAGCATTTAAAAACCTCTAGGGGAGTTTGTATAGAATCAGAATTGACATGTTCCCAAGCATCAAATATTTGCCCATCATCTGTCTCATGAATGACCATTATAGCACCCTCATAGCGTTCAGCTTCTCGCAGAATATCTTCCTTCAATCGAGCTTCCATTCTCTCCACTCTCTCACGATCAATTCCCTGAATGAAGATATCAAGTTAGACTCCAGTAACAATTGTCCCTTTTCTTCCCAAGTGGATGGGGCAGGGGGGATTCAGAAACGATTTGCACAAACCAAAGAAACAGATACTCTTTTGGAAAGAGCCATGTTTATTTCAGGTACAAGTACTATTATTTATATCAATTACCAACAATCAAATGATTATATTTCTGGCTAATACAAATCAGATGTGTCCATTCTGTGAGTTTAGTTCATTTTAATTTCTTAAGTGGCATGTTCCTGATGCACACTAGAAAGTAAGACAGTCCATATGGTTTTAACTGCCTTCTGGATTAAATAAAATGCATGTCTCCACTTTCTCATGATGACATATAAATGCAATAAATTAAGTTTGTGTCTGCATCCATGTCCATGTATCTAAAAATTCTTCAAACCTGCTGTCCTCATAACATGCTTAGCTTATTATTGAAATCTACTGCAGTGAAATAAAATGTTCAGTTAAGCAATAAACAGTCAAGATAGCTGGGGATCACATGCTTCAAAAAAATCATTTTCCCCTGAAAGTCCACTGGATTTTTCAGAAAAACGTTGCCAGACAACAAAGAAATGATTCAATTAATTTCCTTTCTAAACATAGACTATGATGACAATGAGCAAATACCAGTGGTGATGCTATACTGTAAGCACAATAACTCACACTGCAATGCGTGTGAAACATCTGAACTAGAGATCCTTCTGTTCATAAAGCTCGTCCACACAGATCTTCAAAAAAATTTTAACAGATATGACAAGAATTAAATGAAATTTACCGTGTACTCCAACATGTTTTTATAAGGTCTTTCAACCTCACGAAGAACAAATGGCTTTCCATTAATGTAGATAACAGGTTCTTCCCGCATATTGTGCCAAAAAACTGGACGACCACCTTTGGCGCTACCAATCCTTTGGACGACAGATCGAATTCCATCAATAGTTGGATTTGCAACTCCATAAACTGGAAACCCAGGAACCTCTCTGAAATTAGGAGCACCCTCCACTCTCTCCGGTAAGCTTACATTTTGACAACCAGGACAGTGATCACTTTTTAGGACAGTCTGGCTCCCAAGAACCTCTCCATTCCTCAGAGCAGCAACTACACCCACTTCATGAGGGCGACCATCACCAGATTCAATAACCTTTGTCAAAGATGGTTTCAGACTTGCATATCCAAGTGCACCCATTGGATCTCTCCGAAGCAACCTGAAACAATAAGTTGCCAATTAAAGCATGCACCAACACAAATTCCATAGTTGGGATTATTTTATTTTAAAAATGAGTTGGAAAACAAATTTAGCATCATATTAAGGATGAGAAAATGAACTTTAACAATGCAGGTGATAGTTTAGCATTCAGTAAATATAATTTCATAAGCATATCGAATTGCTACTAATGCATTTACCCTTCTTGATTCCTTTACAAAAACAATTCCCTGAAACAAATGAAGAGAGAAAAACAGTGGGGTTGGGGAGAAGCAACTTGTTGCCGTCTAATCCAGACCAACTGAACATCAAATGGCCAAATTAGAATCATTCTTGCAGTTTAACTGACCGGGCAACTTCTATTCAACAAGGCACTAGTTCAACTGAACCCCAACTGAGCATGTAAAGGCAAAGACATGAAGTATCAGAAGCAACCACCACAATATCCACAATGTTTTATCACATCATAACTAAATGGTAAGAATTGATGACATAAACAAAGCAAGATTCAGATGTTCAGGCAGCTCGGGCTTCTGTTGACACTTTACTATTGGTCGGTTCTCATCATGACTCTCAAAATGTTAGCTCCATTTGACTCACTATATGACCCTTAAATGTATTCTTAAAAAAATGGTACTTGTATCTCTACTGCTTCTATAAGTGCAAAATCAGTACTATGAAGGGTTAGCATCAGTTCCTGAAATTAAAACAGGGAACTTCTTATAAGACTCTTGCAATTAAATCTTTACCTGCGAATAATGCTATATAATTCTGGCCTTGCTTTCATCCAGTCAGCAAAACTGGTATGATCAGAGGAACTAGAACGGAGAGCTGCTCTCTCTGAATGGATATATACAGCAAAGCATATAAGAAAGTAATATCTCTCCAAATACTCCACAAAAAATGAAAGTGATGCTTCCCTCTTCATCTCATCTGGCTGACGAAGAATACTATTCCGATAAGTGGCAATTGCTTCTCTTAAGTTCTGTACTTGCATATAAAGCAACACCCTATGAGTTGTATAAACCTATAATAAAACTTTATAAGCATGCAGATAAAGACAATTCAATCTTGTCCCTAGGAAGGAATTATGGCAATGGGCTCCCAGCTAGAAGTTTTATCTAAAACAATACTTGCATTAAGTTTAGAGTAGGAACTTGGTAACTAAACCTGAATGCAATGGGATACTTAGAAAGCCTACCTGCATTGAAGAACATTTGTCAATGACCTTGTCCACTTGTCTTTTCCCTTCAACACCACCCTAAAGGAATGTCACTATTAATAAGAAAAAAGATCCACGGGTATGTTAAAAAATAACCAAGAGCCAAATAGCGGTATTAAATACCTCAAGGACCCGAATCAGGCTTCTTATGACTGCATATTCTCCTCTACGAATTGCCACCTCAGAATTGGGCATATTGTCAGTGACATTAGAACCAGACTCAAAAACTCTGCCGATTGAATTGGTTCTAGGTATGCCTACGTCATTAGATATAAAAACATAAGAAATCAGAAAAAGTTATATTAGATGAAATTATGCATTTTTCTGTCTCTGGACACATTTAAGGACAATTTACACTCTGGTAGATTTGATTGACCAATGTAAAATGAGATAAAAAAGAAAAAGAGAAAAGGGATGAAATGGGGAAGTGCCACAATTTTCCAAGTTGTGGATGAGATATCCTCTCCTTTTTTCCAGCATCTAATCAAATTTCAGTCACAAATGTTACAATTTCTTAGCCTAGATAAAGTCAATGACCTATAGCTCAGTATGTTTACCGTGAAGTCGATTTTCGCATAAGAAAACTAGCGTAGAAATGAGAAAATTCAAGCAAAAGAAAAAAACCCAAATAGTCCAATAGAGTAATGTAAAGATATTTATGTTGATAACAGGGATGGCATAAATAGTAGAAAATTTGTAGCCTGTTTGCGTTAAAATTGCATAACAAAGAGACACCACTACCAGAAGCTCCAATTCTGTTGAGATAAACCAAAGTTGCAATCACCATGCCAGTAGTTGTTCTTCCTCGTCCCATTTGACAATTAAAAATTACCTCAGTGCTTATGTCAGCTTGTGAAATTTTATTAACCTGGAAACAAAAGATAAACAGATAATATATTACATTATCTGCAAAGTGCAATGTTCAGATTTTAATGCTTTCATGTTTAATAATCATAAAACCAAAAGATTAACTTCATAGCCAAGTATCTTTTATGCACAAAATGAAACATAACAACCATCAAATTAAATTCACACTTTTAAGAATTTTCTCAAATAGACTAAAACTGCCATGGTCACAACCAGGCTTTAATGTAGAAGATATCAGTGCACCAAATACAAGCATTTCTATGACGATTTTTAATTTAAAATTAAGAACCAAGATTTCGAGTCACCACACTCCTGACGTCATGTAAAACATGGAAATAGATACACCTCTCCTTATTATTATACTTCTTTCTTTATAGGAAAACCATCAAATAAATTCATTAAAAATTTAAAATTCATTTAGCTGTATGAATCCTTTTGCATCACTTCAGTGTGTTTTCTATATAAGCCACTGAGCTCAAAAGAGAGGGGGAAAAAGTACCCACTGATTTCCAATCAGTCAACCCAAGAGCAAAACTCAGAGAAAATTCAATCTCTCAAGAGCCCTCCACCATCACTGTTAAAAAGAGTTGCATTCAAACTATATTACCAGGCTGTAAAGAAAATTATACTAAGACATAATTTTACAAATAAAAGTTCAACTGATCAGAAGAGTGAGTCCATATTACCCCAGGTATTTATATAAAGAAAAATTGGGGTGGGGATATTTGGTTGTCCAAGTATTAGCAGAAGTTTATTAGGAAATATGTAACAAAGCGGAAGGAGGATGACTCAAAAAGCAAACAAAGTTCATAAATTATTCAAATCATCAAGCAGTATACGGCCAATAACATGGAACTCACCAGAATATCAAAATCCAGCTCCTTTGGTGATTTTTCATCCGTTATAGGCACACGCTCATAGTCAACCAAGTACCCTTCAAGTTGCAATTCCTCATACACCTATACTAGTGAAACACCCAAAAAAATGAGTTCAAGATGATAATCCAAAATCTTGGCAGATCAGTCATGTTTTCTTATTTTCCAAAGCTTATACCTCCAATGGTGTCTTCACAGAATCAAAGGAAACTCGTTCCCACTGGTCCACCATCTGACCATCTGGCAGTTCATCAGTGACAAGGATCTTATTTGCATATCTGCTATGTCAGATTTCCAAATAAAATTTGCTATCATTCAGGGCAGGTGCAACCATTGGTAAAGACAGCAAACAAACGTTAACAAGTCACGATAAATAACATGTGTAATTAAAGAAAATACCTTGCAGCTTCTATCAAAATATCTTCCTTCAACCGAGCTTCCATTTGCTCAACCCTGTGCCTGTTGATTCCCTATTCAACATAAAGACTATAATCAAGAAAATAATAAACATAAAATGTAAATGTCAGCAGGCCTTCGGCATGCACATGCATGCCACATATATAAGTATGGATATTGTAATTTAAAACCCCAATTTCTCTTTAATAATTCAGACACTATATACTCACATGACTCATGAGATAAGTAAACTACAAAGTATTCACAATAAATGGTTGATAATAAAAACATAAACTCTTAAAGCATTGTATAATGTGGCCATGCTAAAACTAAATGTGTAAAGACCATTTATATTTGCATCATCTACTCAACCCTCCCACAAAGTGAGTACATTTGATGTCAGATTCCAGCACTAAGTTAGCAAGTAAGAACATTACATAATAGTTGCCAGAACACAGTAGTTTGTGAACTTAAAACACGGTCATAAATAGATGACAACATCTAAAGTTTCCTTCTGCTAACATACCGTATATTCTAGGTTGGAGAAGGGCCGTTCCACATCACGCAAAACAAAGGGACGTCCATTAATATACACAACCTATTCAAGCATAAAGAATATATATATATATAAGTTAGAATAAGCAAAATTAAGCAATTCCCAAACTCTAAAAAGGTTTATGTAAAACAACATGCCCACCAAAATCAAGAAAGTCTTCATCATAAAGTTTCTGATGAATAATGAATGCATGTATTATGTTTTAATTTATCTCACCAACGTCATAACAAGCACTAAAAACACCAATGCTGATATTATTCCAGTCAAACTGTTGGCGAAGAAAAAAATGAGTTTTCCTTTTTGTTGGAGAAGGAAGGGAGGTGGAGGAGAGAACTTATTTTTCCAGGTCAATTCATCAACATTACACCAAAAAAAAAATCTTTCTTGGGAATGGCATGAAGACAATTGATTTGAGATGACAGTAACTATGACCTACAACCTCCAAATATACTAGTCAACCTCATGCCACATACGAAAACTGGTGTTGACAGAATGCACAAGACAACAATTGTCTGTTAGATGAAGCAGGTTCAGCCAGATATAGTTGAGTCATGGTTGTTTCCCATTTCTTCTTCAATTTTTTTTTATTTGGTTTTTTTGGGTATTGATTTTTTGTTTTAGACTTCCTACTTGTTCCATGATTGACTTTCTATTATGGTTTCATATTATTGTCCATCCTAGATTGAGTCTTGACATCTTCAATAGCATGAGTGGTCCTGAAAACTCAATCAGATTTGTACTTTTCTCCCAATTTTCAAAATTAGTTTTATAATAATCATGTTTTCAGTAGTCGAGCAAAATATCCCACATGTCAACTAAAGCATAGCAGTCTGTCCATGCACTTATCAACAAACAGAAATCAATTGGTGAGAAATAATTTTACCGGTTCCTCACGAAGACTAATCCAAAGAACATGTGCTTGCTTCCCATCTTTCTGGGCACCGATATGCTTAAGAACATTTTGAATTCCAACAATTGTTGGTATTGCAACTCCATGAACACGCAATGAGTCTGCCTGTTAATAACAGACCAAAGAAAAAAAGACAAAGGAAAAGGGTTAAAAACACGAAATTAACAAAATAGATCACGCCAAATTACCAATTCAAAGTGGTACTCACAAGCGTAAGCATGGCAGCATCTGCATCATAGAAGATACTTAAAGATATATGAAATATAACATCGATGAAACTAAGGGCATGGTAAACCATGAGATTTAATAGTTCAGCCTACTAATACCGTCACAATCTAAATTCACGTATGATATTAGCACCCTGCTTTTGTAAGTCTAAGCAATGTCCAACACGGGCAATTCACGGCAAAGAACATGAACCAGTTTACCCTCACTTATTAACATGTTACTGTGTCCAGCAAACTTGTTGAATTGACATGTGGAGATAACCAAAATGTCGAAGGAAAGTAAGAAGCATACATTAAGTATAATTACTGTTCTACTGCCAACATGAGGTGAAACAGATTCATAATTAATTCCCCGTTGCAATTTTTTTCCTATAACTAAACTAAACATATTATCTAGCAATCCCTTTAATTTGTTTTAGATAAGATATCCAAGAAAGCAGTAAACAATAAGATAACTACTAAGAGTAGTGAAAAAAAGCCAGCTAAAAAGGCAAGAATTGCAATTAGATGCCCATTCCTATCAATTCCAGAAAAGTAGCAAAAGAAATCTCTAGAAAGGGGAAAAATGAACTAAGAGAAAGAACCTGACGGTAATTGGGAGCACCATCGATCTGAGGAGACAAGCGCTTGTTTTGGCATCCAGGGAAATGGTCGCTCTTTAGAATGGTCTTTTTACCCAACACCGACCCCCCTCTCATCTTCATCACTTGCTCTGGCTCCTTTGGTATCGACATCTTCTCGTGCAAAACACTTAATCCTCCTCAAGATTCCAACCTTACCCTTTTCTTTAATAATTCTAAGGAACCCAATACGAAAAAATGAAGGAGATAGAAAAACAGGTTTCCAGTTTAGAAGACAATGCAAAAAGAAAGACTGAAGAGAAACGAATTCACTTCAATCCTTCCCAAGATTCCACGATACCCTTTTTCTTGATAATTCTAAGGAACCCAATGCCAGAAAAGAAACGAGGAAAAGAAAAGGCTTCACTTGAAACAATGCCAAGAAAAAAGGGGTGAAGAGATATTAGGAGTAGAATAAACAAAATTCACCTTCAATCCTTTCCAGATTGGAACTTGACCCTATAGAAAAGAACCCAATGACAGAAGAGATACATAGAAAAAAAAGAAAGTATTTAGCTTGAGACAATGACAATGGTAATGGAAAGGAAAGCGTAGCAGCTACGGAGATATAGAAGAGAGAAAAAAAAAAAAAAAAGGGAGAGTTTTATTGGCGCATGTGTCCACTTAATATCACAAAAACAGAACAGAGAGAACGAGAAAAAAAGGAGCCTTTTTTGTATCAATCCAATCTACAACAGTGATGTTAATTTTAACCTTTTTTTCCTGTTTTCATCTGAACAATAGCAACGTGAAAGACGTGTGTTTAAGAGAATCTCAATTATTATTTCATCTAATCTTTTCGATAATTAAATATTTGATAATCTCATTGTTTATGTGCTTTGCTAAAACGCGTCTGGGAAAGGCAGAGCTTTTACAGTTGAAATTCTTTTCCCACTGATATTCGATGCCCAAGCGCCATTGCCACCTAATCTTCTTTTTTGTTTTTGGATAACTTGGAAATGCAAATATTGGGAAACCCCTTGTTTGTAATTTCCTTGCTTCTTTTACGTTCCTCGTGGCTCAAAAAGGGTGGGAACAAACAAACCACCCACAGTATTTTCCTTCCCTTTTTTTTTTTTTTTGTTTTGGTCTTTAATTTTAAAATTCATCGACACTAAATGGCAATTCTGCCTATGCTAGCATGGCAGAATGCCAGAGTCAGGATAAGAACCTGTGTTGAGAGAATATGCTGTTCTTTCCTCCGTCCCGTTCATAGATGCAGTTGACTGTTGCTATTTATTGCATTTTGTTTGTTTCCAATTTCCAAAATGATTTCTACCTGTTTGTCTACAATCCAGGCGTTAGCCTGGTTGAGTTCTGTAAACTTGTACTAACACTTTCAAGAGAACAACCTGTTTCCCACTTACCACAAGTATGAGTCTTTAAGCCCAAAGAATTGAAGTGATGAGAGAGGATTTGGATTTCATTCTCGGTTTAAACACAAAGCCACATGTGCTCATTGTTTAACAATAAAGGGGAAATGGTGGTATGTTACTCTCATTCTTTCAGCAAAATGCCAAGGCCAAAATAAATGTACCACTTACCAAAATGCTGAGCTCTTTGTTTCACAGATTTGTTTGAATAATAAAACCATGGCTCATGCACCCATTATTGTAATCTTTAATTCTGTAAAGCTCTCAGCAGAAGGGTCAGCTTTCCAAAAATGTAAGCTCATTGTTTTCAAAAGCTAGCCGTTCCCATTGGAAGAAAATGAAAGGAGTTAAATGGTTAATGCACAGGACTCAAATAATTTAATCATGGCATGCTAAAGGGGTTAGGTGGCTCCTCTTCAAATTGGAATAACTTTTCATGCCTTTCGGAACACTATCATATTCTTGTTCTTCCTTCTTTTTGGTTCTTCGAGAGAATCATGTAAGAGACTCAGTCATTTGAATTTTGTTGTGGAAGTGTTTGTGTTCTCTTTTAACACTTAAGCTAAAAAGCACAACTATCCAAATCAAGTTCTCTATACCAGTCATTAATCCACTTTTTGACCCCAAGTAATCATGAGTCAACACCATTTATTGTAAAGACGTCATGATTGAATTCTATTTCTAAAAGTAATTCAATTCGTCTGTTTTAATTATGTCGAATAAATATAAAATATTAATAATTATATAAATAAATAAAAATACAATACAATTAATTAAATGTATTAAAATTTTATATGTAAACATGATTATGTTTATTAAATGTAAAATACAACATAGCATATTTAAAATTCATCAATATTAATATTAATTATAATAAAAAAATAATATTTATATGAAATTTAAACAAATCATATATTTATATTATTTATTAAATAATAAGTTTGACATGTTTTAACCTATACACATAATTAACACATAAAACATAATTGTCTTAAAGTCAAACTGATTTAATTCCAAATCATAATACTATGTAGTTTACAAATTTAGGTAAACATGGATAGTGAATTAAATGATGTAATTACTTTCTTGAGGACATTAAAATTGATGCAGCTGAATTACAGCCCTTATTTTGTCGAATTCTTTAACTAAATAATTGAAATTTAAAAAGTTAAAAATTGAAATTGACTTTCTTTAACCCTAATTTTGTATAAGTTGATCAAAGCAGTAAAGGATTTCCTCAAGAAAATTTGAAAACGAAATACAACACATTTTTTACAGAGAAAAACTTTACTTTAGATTGATTAATCAAATAGGATGAGATCTGATTTGTTTAGTGAAAATTAACTGTGTTGAAACGAGATCTAGTTTCGTTCGATTAAGATCTAATCAGATAAATTCTAGAAATAATTTTTTCTTATGAGATTAGATAATGTTAACAATGATTAATGAGTTTGATAAATTCAAATCCGATGGAGCAATACTTATTTTGGCTTAAAACAACACAATAATCTCGACAAAACGAAACAAAATTGCTCTGTCATACCCAGCAATGTTGATATATCCAGAGACGGATGGAGGGGTTAGTAGCAGCAATCCCTTTTTAAAAAATTTAAAATTTTATTTATTATTTTCAAAATTTTTCCTTTACAAATATTGAATTTATTGTTTTATAAATATTGTTTATATTTTCAAGTATAAAATTTCGATTTCGTCACTGAATATATCTCTTCAGTTGAACTTAAATCAAAAGTCAAAAGACAAGGTGGGTAATTCTCACTTCCTTGTTGATCAATGACAAAGACTGTGTCCTTTCTCCCAATCGCTAAATATTTTCTCTCCATTATCCTTTTGTTGTGATTTTCCCTTAAATTTTTCTAAGGCCAGGTGATCGTAAGTCAACAGCTACTTGCTCGTACAAAGATGTCAAATCGAACCCCAGTTGTTGCTTGTAAGTTTTCAACTGCGCTGGTCGGTTGGCCTTTTTTCTAATTCTTGTTGGGTCATTATCTTTGATTATGTCGCCCTTTTCGTATCTGTGTTAAACTAATTTTCTATGTCTAAATTAATCGTGTGATCTCTTAGGCATGCTTGGCTGGCTGAAGAAGGCAACCTCTAACTTTGTAAAATCTAAGCAAGAAATCATTTTATTGTTGCGACCATGTCTTCCGTAATAAAAAGAAATGAAAAATCAATGGGGTGAAGTTCATAAACCACCCTTTCCAATTAGTAAAAAGTATATGAATCTGCTTTTTATTTATCCTTTACTTTTTAAAATAAAAACAATGAAAAGTGAAATATTTTTTAAATGAAAAAAAATGTAAAAATTACCAAAATAAAAATATTTTTTAATAACTATTGTATGTTAAAATTAAATATCATTAATTGAGCTCGATAGTCATTCATAAAATTAAAAATATCTGTCACTAAATTAATATCAAAATCTCGAATGATTTTTTTTCAATAAAAATGATCAATAAATTTCTTAAAAGCTTATCTAACATTTTATTACAAGTTTTATTTCTAACAAATTTTATAATAGAAAATATATGTTCTATGTTGCAATGGAAGATAAAGCCGAAAAAGTTAAGACAAGCATAATCGATTTGTCAACAATGAAGAAAAGCTTATAAAGTATAGATATTTTTTTTTAAATCTATATAAAGAACATTAAGCTTGAACATATCTAATTGATAATTTAAATACATTTTATCAAAATCATCAAGGTAATAATAATTTACAAAATTACATGTACTGTCAATATCAAACAATTTAAAATTATTTTGAGAGTTTAAAAATGTATCAAGAGTAAGTAATTTCATTACATTTTTATTAAATTTGAAATCCAACTCTTACAAGAACGAGTCAATAATAATAAAAAATAAATTAACTTGATAATGTTATTTAATTATGACTTGTTATAAAATTATTATAAAAATAAAATTTTAAAATTTTTAAAAAATAAAAATATATTATAAAAATTTTAAAATTTTTATAAAGATAAAATTATAAACTTTTTAAGAAATAAAAATATATTTTAAAATTTTTAAAATTTTTGAAAGATTACGAGCCCTCCTCCCATCAAGCCTCTGTGTAGTATTAATTGAAAGAACTGGATAAAGAAAGGGAAGATGTGAAGAAGAGGATAAGATAACGATGATGAATGACGTTGACGAAGAAATCCTTGCTGAGGTCCAACTATTAAAGTATGCAGATATTGTTTCCTCTGTACAATGAATGTGTTTACCATAATTTAGTCTGACGATAACTATACTTGTTTTTTGTTAGAACTGCAGTTATATTGCTGTCTCTACTCTACTTCCTGCAATATTTTAATGAAAACCTTCATTATTGGCTGAGAAAAAAACAAAAACTATGTTCCTTTACTCCAACATCGTCCACGTTGCCGCCGCCGCCATGTAACTTCTAAAGCAAACTTTGTAGACTCATAAGAAGCAAATTTTGAGAAGATTCTTGTTTGGTTTAGACTTTCGAGTATCTATATATAGCCCAAGATGGTATTAAAAAGAAATTGAGAGAAGGTGGACAAGAATTTGTATTTTGATAAAATCTTTTAAAAGGTGAGAATATTTTTGTGTTACGGTGATTTGTCAAAAGTATGCTGTGGTGATGAAACCAAAGGAACAACGTTTGAGTAAGAGAGGGGCTTTTTAGTTCACCCATGAATCATGTGGGTGTAATATCTAATATTATAGTAAATGATGCAAATCAAGTTGAAGTTGTTGCAGGATACAACACAAAATCTTCAATAATCAACACAATATATATATATATTAAAAAAAGACTATGATTGCAAGGTGCAACTCTTAGGACCGACACCTAAGTGGTAGGAGTAGGTTTTCTCAAGATTAAAGCATCCTAGAGAGTGTCCACACTACAAAGGCAAACCAGCTAATACTTCCTCTTCCATGCTACACTCGTTTCTTAATCTTGAAGCAACTCTCCTGTAATTCTGAAACATATGACAATTGATATTTAAGCAAATTAAATTCTATATAGAAGACAGTTTGTGCTGATGGAACATACTTCAACCCAGCCTGTATTTACCTGCTTTGCAAGAATCTGTAACAGGAGACGGCAGATATATAATATATTAGACTCAATTACTTATATGTGAATTTAATGCTCCCCATCTTCCCCGCCCATTGCCCAACGAGCTTTGACTGCAAGATATCCCCTAAACCGCCTGTTACATGATTTCAAGGAACCAAGACTGACAAAATTGATCAGATGTACATATAGTTAAGGGCCAAAATCCTGCCAGCTGCTGTCGCTTGGGGCTTTCTTGCAGAAGAACCACTAGCTTGCAAGCCAAGGCCACCACACAGTAAGATTCCTCGGCAAGAGATGTAGGAAATTCATTTAAACAGTGGCTAGTGCTTTCTTTTTAGCTCATGAACAGTGAAAGGGACCTCAACCGATTCCTTCTGATAAAAATTTCTGCCATAATCTCATGTTGATCAAAATTGACTATATACGCAGTGATGTAACAAGACAATTTAACTCACAACTTGGAGTAGGATATACTGGCCGACAGCCAGAATGAGAACAACCAACAGTATCAAAGTACGAATCACACTGGAAGAGGAAGAATCTATTCATTATACTGAGAAAAAAAAATACAATTTCATGTAGCAGATGCATCAACCAAGAATAAGAGACCAACAAAAAGTACAATTTTGAATAATCAATGGGTTAATTACCACGTCATGAGTTATAGCAGGAATACCCTGAAGTCCGTTCTTGGGGTTGGTTTGATTCCAAGAAGCTGCTCAGTATGGCCAAGCTAGGCACCAAAAGTAACATATTTGCAACAGTATGCATGCATAGCAGAGATAAGTACCAAGATGTGTCTGAGAGAGAGAAATATCATTGACAAGGCTCTGCAACTTGCCAACTTACAGTGTAATTAGAAAATCGAGGATTCATGGCAGCTTTCCATCCAGCCATGGGGTTTTCATTTAATTGTTTTACAAAATTGATTCCTACATGTTCATGGTAAGAGCAAGAATGCAATGGTTTCCTTTTTAAGAGAAGCTTTAATTTTCGTTTTCCTTAAAAGACATTCAACAGAGAAAATAGCTCAAGAGCCCTGGAGTTAAGCTTGATGTCCGAAAGTGGTTCCACTGCAATCACGTGCTAGCAATACAGCATCAAGTAAGCTCCTTTGGTTGGGGGACTAACCGTTTTCTTTCCTTTCTTACTTTTGAAGAAAACATCAACACAGATGCCGGCATTACAAAAATTCATTTAACTAGAGACCATAATTAGATGGCTTAAATTCGATTTGACTTAAATTATTTCAGATCAAAAAAAAATTTCATCATTTTTGAATTGAAATAATTGAAAACTGAATGTTTTATAAATTCAAATCAATTTAAATTCGAATTATTTTTAAATTTCGATCTATTAAATTGTATAAAGTTGAGAATGAATACATAGAATTCAATCAACTTTGTTAACTCTAATCTTAAAAATCCTTGTTATTTAGAGCCGGTTACGACAAAGAGTAATAAATGAAACAAATCTCCTAGTATTGATGTGTTGAGAGATCGATGTGCTTTGAACTCTAAATGACTATGACGGTATACCGACAAGTTATCCAGCAGAATTCAGTGACTTTCAGCATCCAGCAGAAAGTGTCCAAGGAGTTAATTCAAGAATGAATTTTGCCGAGTGCATATGTCGGTGCTAAGATAGGTATGTTTTTCAATTGTACAAGACAATGTGAAACTCCGGGACCAGCAGGTCTTATCCAATAAGGCTCGTATCATTTCAGCAATTCATGCCAGCCAGAATACAAGTAAGTTCTTCAACTACTCCCCTTGTGTTATCTTTGATATATATCATACTTTGGTATCAGAGTGTTCAATTGTTTCCTATGTGATTAAATAATCATATCATCTCACTCACCTTTTCCAGATATGTTGCCCTCTTATCTTAACGCTAGCTTTGCCGATTAAGGCTACCTATGAGGAAATTATTTCATTGTGGAAATGATGGGGGAGGATAACAATCAATCTCCACTTCTTTTGTGCATTTAGATTGTACGCTTTGTCCTATTAAGAAGAAAGAGGTATCTGAAATTGGATCCTATGATTCCAGCGAGAGTGATAGAATAGCTCATATTTCACAGGACAAATGACGCCTCGCAATTTAATAAAATTTACTTTTCATACAAGGAAATTTCTGATAATAACTATCAGGCCAAATACAGTAGTAGCTGATCAGAATTCATGTGGGTACATTACATAATATATATATATACCGGCTGAAGTCCTTGCAAACTGATACAACATAACATTTGATAATCAACATGAAAATAAGGATCAAATTTCATGGCAGCTCATGCACTTATAATTTATGATTGCAACCCCCAACTAATACATAAATGAGTAGTAGGCCTGTATGGATGAATTACTCTCAAAATGAAGCATCTTTGAGAATGTCCATATCACCCACCTCTCTAACAAGATTTTTGGTAGAGGGCAAACCAGCAACGACATCATCTTCAATACCACACTCGTTTGTGCCTCTTCTAATCTTGAAGTAGCCATCCTGTAATTCAAAATGTGATAATTAATATTTAAGCGTTCTAAAGACACTTTTTCCTAAGCGAATGTGGAGAAAAGTTTGATGAAAAACATACATCACCCCAGCCTCTATTCCACTGGTTTGCAAGAAGCTGCAATAGGGAGAAAGTAGAAAGACAAAATATTAAATCAATTAATTATATCATTCTAAGATGTTTGCCTAAAAACACAACCAATCAAAACATACCCAGTAATCCTCCCCATCATCAGATGTTCCCCAACCAATAAGCTTAACTGCATGACCTCCCATGACACCGCCTGTCACATGTTTGTAAACTCCTGACTTGTAGTGAGCAAAATCCTGTACAATCATAAAGAAGCTAGAATATCAAACACAACATATCTCCTAAATAAATGCTATTTTCATCAATTTTTGGGTTAATGCAACCAGGAGCACTTTTCAAGGAAAACCAAGACTGACAACTAATCTGCGAGTTAAGGGCCAAAAGCATGCCAGCTCTCGCTGGCTGTTCAAGCAAAAGTACTAGTTTGCAAGCCAAGCTGACCACATTAAAATTGCTTTGCAAGAGATGCAGCAAATTCAATTAGAAAAGTATCACTGCTTTCTTTTACCTCATAAACAGTGAAGGAGACCTCAACTGGTCCATTCTTATAAACTTCTGCCATGATATCAGCTGGATCAGAGTTGATTCTGTATGCCCCAACACTATAGTGCTTGGACTCACTCCAGAGTTGGTTTCCGTTGACACACTTTTTAACACATCTGGGAGTAGGATATGCAGGCTCACAACCAGGGTGAGAACAACCAGTGTCATCAAAATATGGATCACACTGTAAGAGGAAGAATCTATTCATTACAGAAAAAAAGTGCATCCTCCCCCACACACAAATACACAGAGAGATTAAATGCATCAACAGAGAATAAGAGGCAAATAAACTAATCAGGTAAGAAGTTTGGAAGGTTTAATCTAAGAGAGGGAAATAATGAACTTAGAATGAAACAATCTTATCTTTTTATGTAAATAATAAAAAGTACTAACAGTAAGAAACTAATTGTCCATGATTAGAGGCTGAAGAGCGATAATAGTAACGATGAAGATTATAATTATACATCTTTAGTGTGCAGAAATAATTATGTGAATAGTAATAATAATACCTCCTCAGTGACAACACCACGGCGCACAAAGTATCGCCATGCAGAAATTGGATACCCCCCATCACAACCACTTCCACATAAAAAGCCACAGCACGCAAGAAGATCATTAACAGACAGAGATATATTCTGCAGTGAAATATTTTGTGAGTACAAATAATTTTTCCATGAACCAAAAATGCTGTCTTATTTTCTGGAAACAAAAGTTTCATTTACCATGCCAAAATGGATACAGAAACGATCAGATAGTGCTTCAACAGCACCAAAAGCCCAGCAAGAACCACAGTGACCCTAAATCACCAGCAGCTAAAGATACTAAGAATTTAAATAAAAATGAGATATAAAAATTGAGAGAAATGAAAATGTTGTCACCTGATCTTCAATATGGAAATCGATCCAACAATTGATTCACCATGTAAAAAAGGAAATCATCAGTAAATTGTTCAAAAGTCACAAAATTTTATAAACCAGCACATAACATAACCCACCAAGAATTCTTCCGATTGTGCTACACTGTGGCCAAGCTGTTCTAGCATCAAACTTAGCTGGCACCTTTAAGGATTTGTCATGAGTTATAACAGGAATACCCAGAAGTTCCTTCTTGGGTGTTGGTTTGACTCCAAGAAGATGCTTAAACTCGCCAACCTATGCACCAAATATACAAATTTGGAACTACTAAGCACACAGAACTACAAACATATGTCTCAGAGAGAGAAAGATCACTAACAAGGTCCTGGAAGTACTTACAGTGTAGTTAGAAAATTGAGGATTCAGGGCAGCTTTCCATCCAGCATTGGGATTTTCATTCACTTGTTTCACAATTGAATCCTAGATGATCATCGTGAGAGTAAATAATTAATAATTTGTTATTTGACCACAGAAACCTTTTTTTCCTCTTAAAAACATTCAATGGAGAAAATACCTGAAGGATTCGAGAGTTAAGCTTGACCTCAGAAAGTTGCTCCACGGCAATCACCTGCAATTGTAAGCATCCACTAAGTTCCCATTGCAACGTTCTAAAATTTGTACCATATGTCTAATCAAGCAGCAACTGGAAGTAAAAGGCATATACGAATCTGATTTATCATATAACCCAGGAAGCGCAATTACAACAATCTAATCAATAGCTAATCTAGCAGGCCAATGATGGAAGCCACACATCAAAGCAAAACTACCAGCAAAACACTCTATAAGAGTCCAGTATCAGTATAGGAACTTCCCCAAAGTCTCCCTTGAGAAAAACCACTTTTTCCGTTTATTTTGAACTAGGATACAACTTTTCATCATATATAAGCAAGCTACCTAAAGCAAATAATTTGAAGAGGACGACTTACAAAAACAATTGTCTTTTCACCACTCTCAACTCCAAAAAAGAAAAACGGTCAACAAGGTAAGAGTTTGAATCAAAAAGATTGAAACCGATCTGATATAACTTAGATTCTGGAGACTATTTACCATTTACCAAAGTCATAACAATATCAGGGCATCTTTTCACATCATATAGAAATATATAAAAGATCAGACCCAAATTAAGAAAACAAAAGAAAAATAATAATATACCTTTGGGTGAACCGTGGAGAGAAGTAACAAGAAGCTGGCCCAAAAGAGCAGGGGATTCGCCATGTCCTTCATTTCTAAGGCTGAAGAAAGGGGTAAAGAGAGGTGGGTATAAAGAGGGATTCAATCTTGAGACCCTCCCTCGTTATTGGGAGAGTTGTAAAGAAAGGGACAAAGTAAGTAATAGGGAAAGCAGGAGAGAAACACCTAGATAATTGGCAAAACCGCAAAACAACATTAATATAAGGAACCTTGCGGTGTTGTGTTATTGGTCAGTTTTGGACTTTCAAGAGGCTGTGACGTCAAAGGGATGGACAAACTCATTAACCTTCACGCATCCGGACTCTTATCTCCAAGATTTTATATTTCACAGGATCTTCACGTGGGAATAGGCACAGTTTCAGTTCCGTGTCTTTGAGCATATCAATATATATATATTTTTAATGATTATTAATATAAATATGAATAACTTTTAAAGTATAAGATTTAAAAAAATAAATATTCAATTTTTTTGATAAGTATAAATATTCAAATTTTACAATATTAATTTATCAATTATTTTAATACTATTAAACTGAAAAAACATTGTTAAAAAATAATTAAATATAATATTTTTTACTTACAAATTGAATAAATTTTATTACTATTTTTAATAAAATAGAATTTAAAATGATAATTTTAAATTTAGATTAAATTTTTTCATTTAAAACTTATGTCTAATTTTTAAATTTTAATTATTGTATGATATTATTATGTATATTTATAATGTTATTTATATAATAATTTAAATTATTTAAAATAATAAATGATAATTTAAAATATAATATTTAAAAATATATAATTTTCTTAATCAAAAGTTTTTGGTCTAGTATTTAAAAAGTTTTTAAATTATTAAAAAATTTAAATAAATTCTTATTTTTATTACATTAATCCAAATTTTAATATTATATTTTGAATCAAATAAATTTTTATAATTATTAATTGATTGATTATTATTAATCAAATTATTAATTGTTATTCTATGTTACATGGTGTTGATATAATATATTGACATATCATAATTGATAATAATTTGATATATTTTATGACGACATGATCATATGACACTTTCATTTTTTATATTAACATCATATCAACATCATGCCAAATCACATTTTGATTAATAACAATGAATCAATTGTTATTCTATGTTACATAGTATCGATGTAACATATTAATATGTGATAATAGATGATAATATGACATGCTTCATAATAATATAATTATATGATATTTCCAACTTCTATATCAATATCATGTTAGCACTACGTGAATATAAAATGATAAATTATATTTTAATTAATAATAATTAATCAATTATTAGTTATAAAAACTTATTTGACTTAAAATAAAATATAAAAATTAATTAATCTTAATAAAAAATAAAAAATAATTTAATTTGTTGTGATTAATTTCAGAAAATTTTTCAAGTATTAAGTCAAAGTTTATTTAACATTCATATTTTTATAAACATTATAGCTAAATAACGAAGCTAGTGGTAATTAGTGTGTTACCTTTCCTAACATGAACAAAAAGTCATATCCTTACTTCAATTTGATACAAAACAGGTTTTTCCACGGCAGGCCTTAATCCTAAAGGTAGAGGAAGGAGAGAAGGATGCAGAATAATACTTCTACGCCCATAATTCATTAATATGCCCATCTCACTCCCGCTTTTTCAGCACATTTAATGAACAAAGACAAACTGCTTCAAGCTGATAAGAGAGATTTATTACACTCCATTACTCTTTATCTGATCAGTCTATATCATTTCAGTGATGTACAACGGCCACACAAGCCATTTCTCCACACTTTTAAGATAAAGGCCTGAGTGATTTTCTTAGAATAGCAGTGAGGCATGTCGATTGCGCTGTAAAGCTTCGGTTAAGGACTTTAGTGCCTTGTCATACGAGATAAACCCCATGAACCAAAATTCGTAACCATCCCTGGTGACAATATGAATATATTTCTCAGAAGGGATCAATCTGTTTGTAGAAGGATTGACTGTTGCTAACTTATCAAGCTCCAACACCACCTACATAGCAATATCAGAAGTCAATACTCACAATGCTAGATGCAGCAGCATCTCGGTCTAGACAACTTGAAATGAAAATAGTAATAGCAGTAAAGAAAATTTGATATGAGAATATAAGAGTAATCCAAGTAAGATAGCACAAAAAGGTTTAAACTCATCATGTAGCAACTTAAGCAGCTTAGGGACAGAGTGAGTTAAGGAAGAATCAATGGCTGCTCTGTAGCTAAAACACTACGGGTTTGGACTTGGGTTGGACACTGACAGAAGAATTGGGAGGTTGACCAAACTTACAAGTGAATTCATGACTTGTGGTACCAAATCAGAGCTTCTTAAAGTTTAGGGTAGAGGTGCTAAATGATTGAACATATACATCTGAGCTGGAAAAGAAAAGAAGAGGCTGGCTATGAACGGATAGAAAGGAACACCATGCTCTGTAGTAAATTTAACCCACCAAAAGAACTCCATTAGAATAACAGGAAAGGAGAGCAGAATGAAATTTCAAGCCACGTTAAAACATAACTTTAGTATTATAGTATATGATTTAAAAGCAACAAGCTGTACCCTGACATTTATTTCCTTTTCTTAGCTGAAAATTTCAGTTTTGTTTTTAACCTGAGCTTTAATTGAAATTTAGCAATGAGAATTGAATCAAAAGTAAAGGAGATATACCTTATAATACATCCACTGCTGGTACCCAGGAGAAGCATGATAACAGAGAGGATAATCACTACAAAAGGCTATTCTTTCAGTGGATATGTAAAGAGTCCCGATCACTGGTCCAGAAGTAGTCGATAGATAGCAAACATATGCATGTAAGAGCTTTTCTCCTGGCAAGATCTGAAATGTCTGTTGGAACAACCTATCATGCCCTCCTTCTGTGAGCAGCTTTGTCCCTTGAGCAAGCCTTGCCACTGCAGCATCAGCAAGACTGGGACTAACCCTGACTGCTTTCAAACAAATAAATTTGCAGGTAAGAACCAGAACTATATATATATAAAGAGACAATTATTTGCAGATAAAAGAATTACATGTTAGTATCGAAACCACATAGATATGTGACACTAAGACAAAAAAAAAAATACAGTAACAGTAAAAATGTATTGCTAAATAATTCTAGTGAGAAAACACATACGGTGGTTCCAAACGTTGTCAGCAAGGGCTTCAGCTTTTCTTGTAGCATCTTCAACCTTCTTCCCGCACCGGTTCAAGGCATCACATATCCTACCCATTGGTGCTGTAAAACCAACCAGTCAACCACCCAGTTGCAAAGATCAAACAATCAACAACAATAAGCAATTAATAGTAGTAAAAGGCACACTGTAACTCAAGATTAAATAGAACTTACTCCTGCCAGATGCTGCAATTGGTGAAATGGCGAGGTAAGGATTATTGTTGTAAGAAGCCATGTTGAGATTGTTTGAAGAGGAAGATGGAGGTTGAGGTTGGGGTAGCATCGGTGTACCCATTTTAACAGATGCTTGGGGCTTTTTTCCTCTAGGGTTCTCCACTAGAGAATTCGAGCCTTATTTAAAGTCATATTTGTCGGTTCTGCGAATCTCAAAACAATGAATTAGTCTCAGCTCCTTGGACAGTTTGATGATGGCGATGCTGTGAGAATGGAATAACCGATCGGAATAGAATGTGCCGAAAAAGGCAGGGAATATTGCCGAGAATGTCAGGTCAGGTTCAAAAGAAGCGGCCGAAAGCCAAAAGGAAGATAAAATTGATTACGACCACTTGCCTTGCTAGTGTGCTTTCGTATCAATCGTGCTATACAACTGATGTACAGTTTGCCCATATATCATACCTCCACATGTTTGGTTCTTAGTCATCCTGTTTCGAGAAATTTAGATGATATTCATTCCCTTGCAATAGCAAGAATAGAAAACTCTTTTGAATTGACTATTAGAGTGATCTAATAATCAAACACGATGATCAATCAAAATCAAGATCATGTCGGAATGAATTATTGAATTTGTTGGCTGTTTAACTTTCAATGTCATGATATGGATGGAGGTCGGTCCCAGAATTTGATCCCAAACCTTTCATCCCAGCATGGCCATATCACAATCTCCTTAACCCTTTTTCTTGGGTTAAAAGCTTAACAATAAGCTTAATCATTTGAAACGCACAGGCAGTCAGCAGATTTTATCAAAGGTCAGACTACCTTTCTCTTACTAACAATGAAAATATATGGAGAAAAGTTGACAACATTCCGACTAGATAACAAGAACTTTCTTTCTGCAATATATACCGATTATACAGACCAAGACTGTAACAGAGGAGGGATTTATGGTTTATGCCACCACATGTGGTTCTTATACTAGGAAGGAGCTAACTACATTTTTGTGCTTAACATGCCGTTCAAGATTCCCTGTTCAAAGGAGTATTTTCCCAACCCGTGAATTTTATCTTCAAAGCCTTCACATTCTCCTCCATAGGTTGGTTAGATTCCTTTGGAGTACCGGATCTTAAATCAGTGCCGGATATTAGTGAATTGGTGAAGTCCGATGAGTTTTTTGCTTTAGACTTTCTTCGCTTATATGTCAAAGGAAGGGTAAGATCATATTTAAGCCTCTCTGGAACACAGGGTTTGCTAGGCTTCTCTGAGTTTTCAACATTGTAATCACTTGGACTCTTCTTTTGGTTGGGAGAAGCCATTAACTTTTGCTGCATGCCACCTCCAATTCCTGAATCTCTTGAGACAGCTTCAGGAACTCTTGGAAGGATGGTGATACAGTCTGTTTGCATGATTCTGGTCTGCCTCTCTCCTTCATGGTATTGGGCAGCAAATGGGTATGATTCCAAGGATCTCTCAAACAATCCTTTCTTTCCCATGTCAAAGTTCTGCCACAAATTCTGACCACCAAAATTGTATCTCTTTGAATCAATGACATCAACTAATGATTTGTATCCCACATTAGAACCCCTTTCCTCATCATGTCCAATCGGTTTATGTTTACCTAAATCAACAATGTCAACTTCATTGCTTATATTTTCACCAGAGTTTTGTAAATACCTACTGCTTCGTAAAGTAACATCCTGACAACTTAATATACATTGAGGTTGCTCAGGGTTCATTTTGCTACCAGCAACCTTCTGCCATACTATCGGTGACCCACTAAAACCACCTGCATTTCCCACATATGCAGATGCTGGCGAACAAGATGGTTTGCAGTCCTGTAAATCTTGGGCACCAAAAAGCAATGCTGTTTGTGACCTTCTTGAGAACACTTTTGATAGTTCTGGTTGGACAGAAGGAACTTTAGGAACAACCTTCAGCAGGCCCTTCGGTACTGATCGATATTGTTCCACTATGTCACCTAGTACCATCTTTTGATTGTGACTATGAATTGCATTGCCAGTAGTCCTAACCTTCAGAACACCCTTTGTGCTGCAGTTTGGAGCAATAATGTTCATTCCATTGGCAGATGGACCAGCAAAAATGTTTTTGGGTCTAACACTTTCCCAAGTCTTCATTCTCTTCGGTAAATAGCACATGATTGCATCCGAGTTAACATCCTCATTTAGCATATATCCATCATTAGGCACTGCATTAAGGTCCAGCAAATTGGCATCCCGGTGTTTCCTCCTTGTTCTCCATATATAAAGTCTCTCTTCAACACCAGCACTCATATCACATTCATCCCACAACCTTCTCATGTCTATGAACATTTGTGCCATTTTGTCATGATAAGATCTTAACGCATGGTAATATTTTCTCCTCTCAAGAAACTGCAAGGATTCTCTGAGACAAGTCATCTGTGGAGGATAAAATCCACCTTTCAATCTTTTGAAAAAAGTATCCATGGGATTTCCAAAGAACATATCACTACCACTGAAGAGCTCTTTCATAGTCAACCAAAAAGTCTGTTGGTCCATATCTGGAAGGTAGGCCGACAAAGAGAACCTCTCTTCCTCTGTCAAACATGAGTTCCATGTGTCCAAAGACAATATCTCCCTCAAATCTGGTAGATCAAAAAGTTCGTACGGTATACTGCAAATCTGACCTTCCACCATGCCAAGCTCACAGCTAAGTCCCTGGAAGTCACAGTCATCAAGATCATCACCAGAGTCTGCCCCGAAGATAGGGTTATCTTCGTTGCCCTCACCTTTTAATGATCCAGGAATGTTTCCATGACAATTATCAACTCCTGATTTCCAATGGAAAATCTTCTGTATGCCCATTGACACCAGAAGGTTGTTCAGCTCTACAATCTAGTCACATGGAGATACCAAACAACCAAGCAAAAGTTTAATTGCCAAAGGAAATGTACCTGCGATATGCAAAACACGCAGATATTTAGCAACCAAAATAGGCATAAAATACAAGAATTTTCTTTTCTTTCCTTTCCTTTCTTTTTTCTTTTTTGTTTTAATTTCTTTTTGGTAGCAGCACAAGAACATTGCATCTCAATCGTAAATTCAATTTCCAATAGTTTACAACCAGACATAGCTTCCACAGCACAAAGAAATTTCTGAACGGAAACAACACAAACATAATCAAATTTTGACAAGAATAATCCGGTACAAATTACATTGCTAATAGACTATTCATTTAAGTTAAAAAATCTAGCAAAAAGAATGCAATGAACAGATTTTTAACAATAAGATCACAAATTCTCCATGGAAAGAAAGCCAATGAGCTACCACAGGATAAATAAGATCAAGCAGTTAACAAATTCAGTACAATTTGAGTGAAATTCAAGCTATCAAGTAAATAAGCAATTAGCAGGGATCAAAGCAAACCACAACCTAAGAATAACAAGAAGAAAAAAGAAGGACTCACTGATTAGTGGGAATTTGGAGCTAAAGAAAGCGAAAGAGGAGATCAAGGGATGAAGCAATCCCAAGAGAAGATAAAAGTGGAATAGAGAGAAAAAAAAAAAAAAGGAAACAGTGAAGGAGTGCGTGAAACTAGGGATAGACTGGCTTTCTCTCTTTACCTTTTGTTGCATTTCGAGAGAAAATGGCGAACCAAAAAACTGCCAATTGGAATTTTCCTTTTGCCTTTCCTTTTTCTTTTTAAAAATTTTTTATTTTTCCTTCCATTTTAACATTTCAATCACAGGGCAGGTTGCTCCCTTCCTTCCTCCTCTCTCTCTCTCTCTCTCACAGTCACAGTTCTCCTTTTGTTTTTTTTTCGTTTCTTTCGTATTGGCTTTTGCACTGTTGTACATCCCGCGTGACTCCACCACTACCTGAACAAAGCAGTCACTCTCGGTGCTTCCAGGCCAAGTGCCCGCCAACCCCAACCAAAATACCCTTTTTTTTTCCCATATTTTCGAAGATAAAAACCTCTTAAACATGTTTAACAACCAATAGATTAATTTTCAAAACAAAAAGGGAAACCAATAGATTAATGGACATAATTAATTAAAATAAAAGCTAAATAATAAAAATATCAATAGGTAATTGTCTTTCTTCTATAATATTATATTATTAAAATAAGTATTTTTTTATTAATTAAATCACCTCCATTCTCTTTAAAAAAGCCTTGAATTATTCCTAATTATCTTCACAACACACTACTAACTAGTAGTATCATATTCAATATTTACGATATCCTAAAAAGATTTAGCATGTATATTTTCTAAGTCACAAATGAATACTAGTACAGTATACATTATTTAAACAAAAGTACCCGGACTCAACCTTCAACCGCCAAAACAGGCGCTGCCATTGTAGGAAAGGAGCTACGTGGCGTTTCATAGTTTCATTCATATTCATGTAGACCGTAGTCACATACAAACGTATGGAAAAAAAGAAAAAACGAAAAATGGAAGCAATAAATTCGAAGGGGATTACAGGGCCAAGCCATTATCGGCCCCGATTTCCTTATCCAAATTACTTTCCTCCAGCCTTTAACCTCTCCTTTCAAAAGTTCATGCCGTTACGCTCCTGACTGAACTTAACTAAACTAATACTCCTCAGTCCTCAGACCCACCTGGCGTAAAAGTACTTTAAAAAGAAACGAAAACTCTTCAACGGAAAAACCCGCGAGAGTTCCTTCGAAACTTTTCTTCGCGATCTGATGTTATCTTGGCAAACTCTCACCAGCATAACTGCTCCATCATCGTCCTTAAAACGTTACCGTTTATATGGTGCTCGCTCACTCGATTCTTACCGTATATTAAGAGCCGCGGCAACTCTCAAGGTTCCCGGTATCTCTCCGAGGCTCCGGGCTATATCCACTGAACCAATTGAATCCAGAAGCGACGACGTCAGATTAACACTGAGCGATACCGAGGATCTTGTTCCAAGAAACGAAAATGAAAAGGAGGAAGAAGAAGAAGAAGAAGAAGAAGAAGAAAAACCAGGAATTTCAAGAATTCAAGTTTCCAGACAGAAATACATACCGGTTTCCAAGGCGGAGCTCTTGGATGCTATTGTATCGAGACTGTTCGATTCTCAAGACGAAGGTGCTCGTCAATTTCGCCTCCTCTCTTCGTAAGTTTTATGTTTTTTTATTTAGTATATATTTTAAGATTTCCCCGATTACTTCTCTACCGCGTTCAAGTTTTGAAAGTTCCTTCTGCGCTGTAAAAATTAATTTTCAGGTGTTTGGATTCTATCCTTCACGCTGAACACAAAAGCATTTTGGAACAAATGCGAACCGATTATTACTTTTCTCATTCCGCGGAGAAAGAAAGAAACAAAATGGTCGTTTCAGAATCGGAAGTTGTAGCCAACGGTGATACATCCAACTTGACCGAGGATAGCATCGAACCTG